TGGAAGTGTTCAAGGCCAGGTTGGACGGGGCTTGGAGCAACCTGGGCTGGTGGGAGGTGTCCCTGCCCAGGGCAGGGGGGTGGAACGAGATGATCTTTAAGGTCTCTTCCAACCTAAACCAGTCTGTGATTCTATGATTACATTAAAAATCAATTGTATGACATAGAAAACATGAGCCATTCACAACTGCACACTTTTTAACACAATGCCTTAAACAGTTTCTTGTTTAGCTTGTTGATGAACTCACAATTACCATTTAGTTTCTTCAGCTCATTGGACATTTTCTCAACATCTTTAATCGCAGCTTCAAGGTCAAACTGCCGATCAGCAGCAGCATTTTTAGACAGCTGTTTAATATAGAAACAAAACATAACTGACGGTGTACATAAGGTTCATAAACTCAGTAATACAGCTAATGATAATCATTATGAATTTTTTTCATTGATTTTCTAAAATAATATTTTAACTAAAACCCACTGGCTTTTATAATTAGCCACTTAGATATGGTAAATTGCAACTACTGAAGGCAACTACTAAACACTCAGGGTTTATTTTTCTTTTCTGTTCCTTTTTTTTTTTAACAAACAACTGCAATGGAATTAATCATATTTAAAATGTCCTCTCCTCACCAGCGTTTTTTTCGTATTTGTTTTCGACCTTATTTTTCCTTCAGAATCTAAATGAAAATTAATTGTCGAGTAATATTTAGTCAACCACAAGATGGAGCTATTGTGACATTAACATGCGTAAAAGACATTAACGTCAACATGAGCAGCAAGTATTAATGAATCTGCTGGTACCTGCTCAGAAACTTTTATATCTGTATAGGTAATTATTTTATAATCAACATATTTTGCTTATTTTGGAGATCATATTCACTCCCTTTAACATTTAATTAAAAAAACAATCAAAAGTCTGGAGACAATTACGACTAGAAACTGTTTGAAATTAGGTATAACTTGCATTTTTAAATTTACACTACACTGTTTTTTAGGATTTTTTTTTTCTTTTAGGAAAAATATTAAATTGCACATATCGTGTTTTCTGGCCTAGTTATCAGCTCTCTATTTATAATTCATAAATTCTAAAAATAAAATCTGGAAAAACTCTGGGTGATTCATAAATAATGCTCAATATGTAGAAGACCTCAACGTATTTGAGAAGTATGATAAAAAAATCGAACATACATTTAAGATAGATTCTTTGTCCAAGTCTCTCTTCCCTTCAGACAGTAGCTTTGCATTGAGGTCACCAGCCACGGCCAAAGATCCTAAAAGGACAAACCCCAAATTATTATGGATTAATATATATATTATACATGTACAAATCTCATATCAAATATACAATAACATTTGATAAATATGACTAGACCTTCTTTTCATAAGTGTTACTTGAAAGTACAGTCTAAGGGGCTGAATAGTTTTATTTCTTCTTGAAATGTTTTTAGTTTAACTATTGAATTTTATTTATTTTACTTTCTTTTAGAGACAGTGTCTCAGAATTTTTGTGGGAGTTAAACATGGCACAAGTAATAGTGAATAAACATATTTATAACATTGATGATGAATTCCTCAAACAAAATGCTATATTTTTTTTAATTGAAAACTTTATAAATAATCTAAAAAGGCATTGCAATCAGTTTCTAGCATCAATTTATGGAAGGAGAATCTAAAGCACACACAGAGAAAAAGGGTCAAGTGTTGAATGTCTGCTAGTCAGTAGCAGAGCTGAGATTAACTACCAGATCCCTGGGCTCG